CACTTAGAGTATTGTCTGGTTGGAAAAGACAAATCTAGATTAAATCCACCGTATTTGGGTTATCTCAAACTAGTGGAATGCTCTCTATGGGAATGTTTCACAGCAGTCTCAATGGCTAAACTAATTCCTCTCACCAGTGCAATGCCTTGTTTACTCCCAGCCAACATCTGAATGAAGGAACATGGAGGTTTTTAAAAGCTATTGCAATGACCTGGAAATAAATGTCCCCAAAATAGTTACTGCAGATGGTAAAATCCAATCCCAGCTCAGTGTTAGGAGGAGCAATGTACAGCTGTTTGTTTGGTTTTTTTAACATAACATTTCTAATTTCTGATTTATCAGAAATGCCTAGTTGCACCAAAACCAGAGTGCTGGAAAATAAATCAACTGTCTCTGCTAATAAGAAGAACTTCTCCTCTTCTCCATAAAAATCCTGCCATTTCATTCATAAATAAAATAAGCCTCTAAGTCAGTTGTTGGCAGGCTCTCCCTTTTATCTTTCACTCACTTGAGAAGGACTAGCAACATCATGCTTTCGGAAAGCCAAGTGCAGTAATCATAGAATCGGATTTCATGTATTTTTAAAAGCATTTGCAGCAGCAGAGATCCAATCACTTTTAAGAGAAATACAAACACAGAGAAATTTGGAAGGAGCAACTCAGAGCTCCTGACTGCCTTCATTTCTCCAGCACCGATGAATGTGCTGGGAAGGGACTCTTTTCTAAAGGACATCTCAAAAAGTTAGCAACATTACACTACAAGCACCGCAGAGCCAAAATACTTATTATCTCAAATAAGCCTGGATGACATTTGAGATGTCTCAACAATTACTGGCCTGCCAGCAGAGAGTGGGATCAACCACCTGCTTTACTCTCATTCCTTTTTCTTTCCCCTCCTGCTTGCTCAGAGTCCGTGTTCATAAAATATTTAGGGGAAGCTCTTCAGAGGATGATATTGCCCACACTATACCCCCAGTGCAGGTTTACTGTGCTACTGAGACGGATATTCTGCCACAGGAGAAATCAAAATCGGTGATGGAGTTGAATTACTGCACCAGGAGCACCATCAGACTGACAGTCTGGGCTTGATCCCACCTGGGACGCTGGGCTGAGAGACAGCGGAGAGAAAGAAGTAACACACGGAACAGAGCTGGTCCCTTATGCAAGGTTACAGGGAGAAATGTCACCTTTCAGAATGGAAAACAAAAATATGAATGTTCTGCCTGTTTCTGAGACCCTTTCTTAAGTCTTGTAACTTTCTTCCCAGTGGAAAAAAATCCAAAACAACTCGGTGAAATGTGGAATTCAGATGTGCTGCTAAATGAAACCATCAGTCAGGCAGTGTCTCCTGCAGTACCACCCATTTCTGCAGCAGCCTGACATAAATTAAGTCAGCTACCATGGTCCCTTCTTACCCTTGAACTTTGCCACAACCTGTTCATCTCATATGTTCACAGCCTTCCCTATTAATCCACGTATTTTGTGCTCCCACCACTGTATGATCTTTCCCACCCAATTTCATTAAATCAGCTAAAGATTTCCTATGCTGCCCTGATGTTTTCCTGCATTACAGCAAGATTCTGCTTTTAACCTTCTCATCGAAGTCTGGCTGTCTGAATGTACTTTTGAACCTCTGATGCCCTCTAAATCCCTGTCATTTTCCTTTTTAGTTCAAGGGGTATGTGTTCCTTTGTTCCACCTTTGGCATTTCTCACCCTTAGGCATCCAGGCTTACACCAGGCTGTTGCTAAACTGTCCTCCTTTAATAATTTTTATGAAGTGCAGTCCAATTATCTTTATCTTCCTTGGGGATCCATTCAATTAAGCACAGTCATGACGAGTGAATGGACACAAAGCTTTGTAACCATATTTACACCCAGATTAACGGGAAACAGGTAAGATAACTCTGAAGCCATCAATATTTCAATACTTTGGCTTTTGATTGTGCTATCTTCAGTGCCAGGCACATTCAGGAGAGACCAGCACAATTTCAGAGGCTGAGTTTTTAATTTCCTCCTTGATTTGTGGAAATGATGATTTAGAAACAGCAGCAAAAACACATGACTATCTTAAAATAGTCTCCTTGCAGGTTAAACAAAACACTTCTTGTGACACAAAACAATCTGGAACACTGCATCCAGTTTGTTCTTTCATGGACTGAAGGTAATGGAAACCAGCAAAGAACCAGTATTTAAGCGGAGATGCTGAGAACATCAGGAAATCTCATTTAATGAGCATGCAACAGAAATGCTGAGCTAGAAGTAGCAGTTCTGAAGTGACTTTTCTCCCTCCTGAAAGAGAAATGCTGGATCTGGAACATGGACCTGTCTCTCAGATATGGAATAGCTCTGGCAATTATTTTCACACCTGCTTTGCAATGCAGAAACAAAGGAGAAGGGTCCAATAGAGACTGAAAACCTGCTCCTGTATCACCACAGCTTAACGTAATCGTGTCTCAGGCACTGATAAATGTGTCAATAAGCTTTTGGAGAAATAACTGGTATCCAGGGAATTTATCTTGGTTGTAGTAGTTTCAGCTGAATAGGTCAGATTTGTTAACATTTTAATTTACACAAATCTGCATTCCAAATACTGCTCTTCGGCTCCTTTTCCTAACGACAAGAAAATGTCAGCAGCAAACCCAAATTTACTCCTCTAATAGCTTTCTCAAGATTTCAGGAAAAACAAACAAAAACAAAAAAACCAATCCGTGATACAGTAATGTGAGTGTTTAAACACATTTTTCAATTTAGATGCAATATAATTTTATGTTAATAACCCAGAAAGTTTTGCCAATTCCAGATGTAATCCTGATAGTAGCAGAGAGAGCTGGGAATGAGCATGTCCCATAGCTTCAGGGCAGCCCCAGGATTGTGCCCAGAGCTGGTTGTTTTGCCTCAATCCAAGTGTCCCTTGCCCAACCTTCTACTCAGCTTGGGACACTCAGCACCGTATTTCCATATCCAGTGTGCCAGCTTCGATTTAGTTTTAACTAAACCTGAAAAAAGATGCCTATTCTGCCTTATCCTTTCCCCTTAATTATCACCTGCCTCTCTTTTCACCTGATTTGCTGAGATTAAAACCCATCTCCCACCAAGATATCCCAATCTGTGTTTCTGAAATTATTATAAACCGGTGATCTTTCTCTACCTGTAAAGCCCTATGTTAACATGCTGGCCCCCACTGATGTCAGGGGGGCAATAATAGCTCTTTCATTTCCATAAAATCAGCATTTTCCTGCCAGAATTCCAATTTCTCCTCTGAGTACTCTGCCACCGTCCCCCCGAGGGCTGCCAGCAATCTCTCCAGCTCTTGCTTCTCCTCTTCGACTGCAAGCCCGCCGCAGGCTTCAGCACTGCTTGGGATAATCTACCTGCTTAAGATTCAGCTAACTTCTAAATAAAAAGAGTAGGGAAAGGTCAAATCTGCCCTAGGTTGTGCTTGCAGAGTCTGCCACATCAGGTGGGAAGGAGCAGGCGCTGGTGCTCCTCCTGCTCCCCCAGCTCTGCTGCTTGTCTTCACATCTGGAAGGCTCTCTGCTCGCCTGACCTTCTCCTTGGAAAGCTCTTTCCCACAGTGTCTCCCCCCTGGGTCAGCCCTCCCTGAAACAGTGCCGAGGGGAAGCCCCAAACCTGTGCCAGCCCCTGCTCCCATGTGGTCCTGCTGGCTGCCCCGGGGCTCACCGCGTGCTGCCGAGCTGCTGCCGGGGCTTTCATCTGCTCTCAGCAGCTGCCTTTGGGATTCCTCCCAAAGCTGCTCTGAAGCAAAAAAAGCGGCCCCAGAAGTGGGAATAAAAGGGGCACAAACCCTGGCAGAGAATGCCTGTTGACTGGAGCCTGGCAGAGCACTCAGCAGTGGGGCCAAAAGCTGCTGGGTTGATGAGCATGGGAAAAATCTCTAAGGTGGTGGAGGTTTCACCCCTCTCAGTTGAGGGTCCCAGAAAGGAAAGCCATGCACCAGCCTGCATGTGGGAACTCCTGCTCGTTCCATCCCTGCCATCAGGGAAGGAAAGGAGAGAAAGGAGAACAAAACCAGTTTCTGGTGCCCTCTCTCAGAAACGCAGCATGCTGGGCTCTCCCAATATGGGTTTTACTGGACTTGTTACCTCTGGGGACTGCCTGAACAAAAGATCCTTCCCATCATTTAGTTAACCAAGACTCCCCAGGTGCATTGAACAGGTGACACTCCCTGACTCGCACAGTCCAAAGGGGAATAAAATAGAACTTAAGTTCTGGTGTTCTCTCCCTTCACACCCATTGACCTCTGTCCCCTCCTTCCCCACTCACTCCATCCCACCACTGATGCACTGATTTTTGTTTAATGTGTGAGGTATAAATGGTTTGTCCTTGAGCTACATTCACAGCTAGAGGAGGCAGAGCTCTGGGAATCACACTGTATGGCTTACACTGGCAGAGTATGGTTGTGTCAGTAAAAATGAAATTTCTTTTGCATTTGGAAAAGCTGTACATCATAAAAGGTCAGGAAGAAGAGGCATTAAGAGCAGAGCCCCACAGAAAACCAAAATCACTGCAAGACATTTTCCTAGTTTGGAAGAGACACATGGATGCCAGCAGGAAACATGCAAAGTGTACTGAGTATGGGCTGTTACAGCTTTCAGAGATAACACGCAAGACAGGTCTAGAAAGGGCTATACGTGTGGCATTTATTGTCTCCCAACAGAAAGGGGACAAATGACAAGTTATTCATCCCCCTGCTCCTTCTGGAGTATTTTTTATCTCTTTGAGTTTTACAAATTTACGCAAGGAAAATATCAACACCAGGAGTTTGAAGATTCTCCCAGGGTTTCATCGACCGATATGGATTAAGGCAAAAATATCACATCAAAGCCACGATGCCCCACAACAGCTGCAGAAGCAAAGACCACGATCTCCACGTTGCAACTCAAACTTTTTAGAGGCTCAGAATTCAAGACAGGGCTTGGGCTTTGCAAGTCAGCAACCCTCAATAACAGGGCACCTGGTAAGATGGCTTCAAACTCACCTCTCTGTCGAGTCCAGCAGCCACGGTGACAATGTCTCCTGTCTCGCTGTTAATGGTAAACATGTTTTGTGATGGGCTCTGCGGGGTCTGAGTGACGATCCGGTACCTCACCATCCCGTTCGCTGTAGTGGCGTCGTCTGCGTCATTTGCCGTCACCGTCATCACGTAGGTACCTTGGAACAGCAGAAGATGAACTATCAGGACTATCTCACAGCAGAGCAGATTGCAGTCCCATTGACTCAGGGTCACGCATTGTGCTCAGAAATTCTATGCAGTAGACATCCCATTTCAATCCAGCCAGCCAGGCAAGGATTATGGAAATAGCAACACTGCTGAGACTAGATGATCTGGAAGGATACTGATTACACATAACTGGTAGACAGTGAGAAGTCATATGAGGGTATCTATGATTAAATTCTAATTCTTTCAGTGATTGTAAGTTTTAGGGCAGCATTTTTTGCCCTGCAATTTCACAGATTCTCAAAGGGGATTCCCCCCCCCCCCCATCCAATCACTGCATCCACATGCATTCAGAAGTAGAATTTAATAGTAGAAAGCCCATCAGACTTTTCAGCAACTTCAGAAGGACACCATCAACACGCCCATGCCTAGTGCAGAAAGTAACTGCCTGCTGCCTCCAGCTCTTTGAGAAACATCCACCTTTCCAGCCCCTCGTCTGCAGAGCAAATGGAACAGCTGCTGCCCAGCAGGACAGAAAAATCAATGGTTTGGTATGTGTGGCCAGTGATGTATTGAATTGTTGGTTTGTTTCTTGCTAATCACCAATGTCTTCATTTGCCTTGCAAAAAACAAGCTCTACTTTCTAGATACTGTTGGGAGTGCACTGACAGACTCATTAGCACTGGAGTTTGGCAGCAGGGTGTTTTGCTAAAGTGGGAAATTATCATTATGAGGGTAAAAGATGTTACTTGATTGGATGGACTCCTGCAGCTGCATGGTCCTGTGACCCCCCAGAGCTCATGGGGTCCAGCTTTATGCTTGTTATACTGGTAGGAGAGAATGACTAGAAGGGCAGGCACGCACTGCTCACAAAAAGCAATCTGCAACAGTGGATGAATCTAATGATATGAGACCTGAAAGGAGGAGTGGGAGGCAAAGAGAGACAGTGAAACCAGACATAGCCTCGCTTAGTGACCACCAAACCCAACAGCATCAATGGAAAGGCGCCACTCAAACACTGCTCATTTGGGAAATCTGAACAGACGGACTAACTTATGAGCCTTCTGTGCTGCAGAGATGCAAAGTGGTCCCGGTGACAACCTAAACTGATTCGAGATGGAGCCACACGTTGTTTTATAGAAAGAGCTGAGTTTGTTCTGCTCACGTGGTTAGATGAGAGCCACTGGCAAGCTCGAGGACGTGTGGCTACATCCGTATCCCACTGTGTCTCCTCTCATATGCCCAGCCCCAGTTCAGGGAAAGCAGAAAGCTCAAGAGTTTGCATCTGTTTGCAAAGGGTTTTAAAGATATTCCATGGTCTAAATGGGCAGATCCAGCAATGGCTGCAGCATGCTCAAATTCTATACTTTAGCCAAGTGTCTTTAAGCCACTTAGCACAAAGGAAATCCCCCCAGTACCCTCCCCAACTTTGGAAAACCAATGTTTCTCAGCACTGGCAAGAAAAGGCCTCAGAATTTTGTATTTTTGCACTGTGTGAAGTGCTTTGCTGATCTCCTTCCATCTGCCTCCATTAGGCTCTTTTTGTTCTCAGTGGTGATACATATATTCCTGTGAGTTCTCTGAGTTCAATAAGAATTATAGATTAAAAAATAAATGAATGTGTAAAGCAAATCTTAATGATGAATACATCCCTGTCTTTCTGCAATAATCTTGATTCACATTTGTGAAATGAAAACAAACTATTCAACAACTTTAACATTTTTCTGATCAATAAACTTCAGGAGAGGGAAGGAACGCTGAACTGAAACAAGGCTGTGCAAGCAACAAATTTTCTCTATTTTCTCTTCAAGCATTCATTTTTTGCTCTTTTGCAAAACCAGTTATCATCATGACACAACTGATACAAATAATGAAGCCAACCCTTAGATAACTACAGGGGAAACGTACAGAAGAAATTTAAATAGGAAATATGCTGAATGAGATGTTTGATTTGGAATTTATGTTATCTTAATGCATTCTATACTGAAAATATCTCTGAACAGAATGTCAAAACCTGGGGCTAATGAAAACAGGAGCGGAAGAGGAAAACAGAATCTATTTTAGGACATATGCAGTTTTAGGACGTATTCCAAAAAAACAGGTGGTAGTTTGTGATGCACTTCCAGGACAAGAAACTGCTCTGAAAATTACTGGGACTATCAGGTTCAGATAATGGCACCCACAGCTGTGGTCCCTCCTCACATCGGATCTCTTGGACTGTACTGCAGATTCCAAAATTCATCAGGATCTGTGAGAGATGGTGGGTTCCCAACCTGCAGGGGAACCCGACAGGCTGCAGCCGTGGTGGGAGGGGGTGAGGGACAGTACTGTGGATAGACAGTACAGTCCTTCACTCTTTCCCTGACCTTTCTGCTTCCTTCCTGCAGTGCAGCATTGGACTGAGCACATCTGCTCTAGAAAAAAGGATTATTTCAAAAGCATTTGACCTACATCCCCATAAAGGGAGATAGGATTGGACAAATGTCTCTAAAGTCATGAACTGAGCACCAGGGAGCTGTATTTCAAGAGGCAATCTGCTCCCTATCTCCTATCTTTAATTTTGATTATGAAATCCAACCATAGAGAAAATAGAGAGGAATTTGGCATTAATTACTATCCGGTAACTTAATAAAACGCCCTCTGCACAGGGCCCTGTGTGGCTGCAGCACTCTGCAGTACCTGATGGAATTGCATCAACCACTTCCTTCCTGGCTCTCCCTGGGGCTGACCTCTCCCTGTCTGACCACAGTCTGCTCTAAACTGGCTGCAAATTACTTCTTCCTCTCTGCAGTCTGGATGGTGTCTGATATCTCTTCTCCCTTTCCTGTCTACACACTTTTCCCATCTGGCAGTGTTGCTCCAGGAGGGTGACAGCATCTCCTGTTACCCGTGCTGAGGGTAGCACTCCTCAGGAACACTCACTCCTAGGGGACCAGCTGGTGTAACCTACATCACCATCTACCTTCCACTTAGCTTTCTTTACATTTAGCCTGCTCTTAAGCAAGAAATATACTCTAGATAGCTGTGTGCTGCAGTGAATGACATAAACTGCACACAAGAGTATTCAACAGAGCAACGTGGATATATGCTGCTCCAGTGTCAACATCTTCTGGGTGCTATATAAACTCTTTCCCTATACTAAGATGGTTGGTGATGATTTACTTGCAATAAAAGTAAATAATGTCATGCTTCTATGTCCTTTGCATGGATATACATCTTCACATACTTTATATCAAATAAAGGAAATATATCCCCATATCCAGCCCCTAATACTACACAAATTAAGCAAAGATACAGTGGCAGAGTGAGTGCACAGCTCTAACAAACTTAAAGATTGAAGCTGGTATTGTTTGGGGTTAAGTGACAAAGTACAGACTCCCTAATCTGGCCCACAGGGTGTGTGGATCCTTACATCCCCATATCTACCCAAACAGAGACCACAGACCAGAAACAATGAGAAAACTCCTGCAACTCACATTTACACTGTACTCTGCCATTTTTGTGTCAGATCCTGACGGTGGTGATGAAGCCACAAGTGTAAGAATAAACAGGGAAAGAGGGACTTTACACTTTCAGTGTCTGAGAGAAGAATCACCTTCATTTTTCTGCTCTGCAGGGCTTGCAGAGCATCAGCATCAAAATGAATGCATCAAGTGCCAAAATCCAGGCCCAGTCTGTGCAGTGATTCACAGAACAAATACCCAGTCCAGACGGTCTCTGATGTAACTGCATTAAACTACACACCTGGACTAACTCAGGTGCATAACCTGTTGAAAGAAAACCATTTCTCATCAAATAAGGCACATGGTATGTTAAATAAAACACCTAACCCAGTACATCATGTCAATATTAAATCAAATTTGTTGCATGTTGAACAGCTCTTCCGAGCAGCAGATTGAATTACCATGCACAGCTAGTGATGACAAGATTACTGTGCATTAGCTTTCATTAACTGATGTGCCGAGTTCATATATCACCTGAGTTAAAATTAATGGATGGCATGACGAAGATCTATCAATAAAAGGCAAGACCTCAAGAATCTGTACCTTCACAATGCATTCCCTTTGATTTTCCAGATGTTATTTTGTCAAACGAGATAGTTTTGTTTCAAACCACAAGACACATGAGAGAAATGCTTGACAGCACCCCTTATGGAAAATATTCCCATTAGATTAATTAAGGTTTCTACAGGATAGGCAAAATAACGCCTTGCAGAATCTGAGGGGATGGAAGCAAAGGGAGATAATTTATACCTGTGTATTCAGCTTTGTTTATCAACTTGAAAATGAATTGCATCTCCTTGTAAAAGACCGCAAAGAGATTTTGTAAGGTTCACTATATCTCATTTGATCTGTGTATGTTAAGTAAAAAGAACAAGAAAGATAACTGCCCTGAGTATGTGTAAGCAGATAAGCACAGAGTTGTAAACAAATGTCCCCCCGAAATCACTCTGGAATAGGAGAATCAGCTCAATTCTTTCCAGCTCAGACAGTCCCAAAGCATGCCAAGCACTGATAATTCACATCACGTTGTCTGCAATCTCTGCTATCCCATCTATGCAACTTGATTTTTCCATAAAGATGGAGCTTTCATGGTTTCAAGGCATACAAACAATATCTTGGCATAGTTGTGCTCCCAAAGTCTTTGTTACAACTGCTTTATAATTGCCATTTTTCTAAGCTGGTTTGATATCCATTAGTTAGATTTAATGCATGTTAAAAGAAAGAGCTAATGGGCACTTATCAGGAATCCAAATAAAAAATAAAATAAAAACCTCTTTCACTTTGCCCTTAATACCACGTTGCTGTAAAATCACATAATCCTCTCTGTCTGCTCCTGTGATATAAACAGAAAAAGCTAAAACTTCACCCAGTTTTTACTGACAATGCTGATTCTCTATCCAGCTTTATCTTACAGTTTATGTTTTTAAATGGCTGGTAAATGGCTGCAGAATCATTAAAGGTTGGTTAACCTTCTCAGTCTAATTCTGACC